CTCTCTCTCTCTCTCTCTCTCTTTAAGCCACAACCTCATTAAAAAAAAAAAAGAAAGAAAACAGGTGCTCTAATACTTGTACAAGATGTTCATGGCAGCACTATTCACTATAGGCAAAAAGTGTAAACAATCCAAATGTTCAGCAACTGAAGAGTGAACAAATAGAATGTGGTAGTAGTATATACGTAGCATAGAATATTGCTCTACCATAAAAAGGAATGAAGAACATGCCATAATATAAATGAACCTTAAAAACATGCTAAGCAAGAGAAGCCAGAGGTAAAAGATCACATTATACATGATTCCATTTATATGAAATATCCATAATGGATAAATCCATAGAGACAGAAGATAGATTGATGATTCAGTGTTTGGGGGATGGGGTGGGGGAAAACTGCTTATGGGTTCAGAGTTTATTTGGGATGATGAATATCCCACTTAGATAGGGGTGGTGGTTGCACAACATTGTCAATATGTTAATGCTACTCATTTATACACTTTCAGGTAGTTGATTTTATGTTATATGAATCTCATGTTAATACAAAAAAAGTGAGGGCAAAATACTTCAGGCAAATCAAAACAGAGATAATGAAGAATAAAATACTCAAGAATAATTGTAACCAAGGAGGTGAAAGATTGTAGAATGAGAACTATATTGAAAACAAAAACCTAAATAAGTGGAAATACAGATTGTTTTCATGAATTAGAAGATTTAACTTTGTCAAGATGTTAGTTACATTGGTGAAAACCTGTGAAATAGAGAAAGCTTGATTTGCAGCACAATAAATGTTAAAAGAACTTTCCTCAGGTGAAAGGAAAATAACTTCAGAATGAAAATTTGGACCTGAGTAAAGGAATAAAAAGTAATAGAAGTTCTGAATAGATGGGTAACTATAAAATCTCTTTTTAAAAAAGATAATGGAGCTTACTGTTTCATCCCTGACATGTAAAGAACTAGTAAATCACCATTCTTGTCCTGGATAACAACCTGACCAAACCAGAAATCCAGGGCTGTTCTTGGTTCCATCAGAGATTTGAGTTACCCAGTCCCTGGTCCACTGTGGTAGTAAAGAAGGCCAGGGATGCTAATCATGAGAACATGGATTAAACTTCTGTGTGCTGATTTTAGAAAATGTTTCCATATTAGTTTGCTCTTTTTTTTCTTTTTCTTTTTTTAAAATATATCTGAACCTCTTTTCCTCTTTCTTCTACCTTCTCTACTTTTTTCTTTTTACCTAAAAATATTTTCTTTATGATTGAATTTGAAATTTTACCATAGTTTAGTTTAGTTCTTGTTTGTAAACTTTAATTTTACAAATCTAGATATGATTTTCCTGATCATGTTCATGTCTAGTATTTGTATTTCATTTTCATGCTTTCACATAAACATCCATGTTTTCAACATTGAACGTCATCCCATAGTCACCTAGGGGATTGCTTTTAGGTGGCTCCAAAAAGTGAAACTGAATGACCCTAAATAACCAGTGGGTACCTATTCTGTTGCTAACCGGAGGATCCTGTTGCTTTTCTGGTACCACCTCAAAATTATTCTTACAACTTGAAGAAATGGTTGAGAATAGAAGTTCTGGTATTTCCTTAAGCAAATTAATGTTTTACAACTGGCTTAAATATACTTTGCTTTAATCTGTATGCCTTTTTTTCATTTTTTCCCCTCCCACAGATACCAGAGAAGAAAGGAAAAGAGGCAAATAGTGGTTTTGGCGGGCCAGTTGTTAGTTCTCTGTATCATGAAGAAACCATCAGGTAACTTCTCTTGTGACCTTTGATAATACGAATCTACGTATGTGTGGGTATATGTCTATGTGTATGTGTGTGTTCAAGTTTTTTTTTTTTTAATCTTGAAATCTTTAATTTGTAGAGTACTTTTTTCTTAACATGAAACTGATTTGGTATTATCTCCAGTAGGATAATAAATGGCCGGAAAGAATTCTGTAGTGTATAATTTTTAAAATCAATAAGTTTCTGAACTAGTGCCAAAGTGTCTGAACAGTGAAAATATTATCACTTATCACTTATCATCAGGATCTGAGTCAGTGCCTTTCCCACCTGGTTGGTAAAGCAGGGTTTTGTGTCTCAGACAATCTAAAACTATGAATTTTTGTTGTTAATTTTCCTCAAAATACTATTTCTTATAAAGATTCTAATTCTAATAATTTACTATAATTCTAATTAGACTAATAATTCTAGGTAAAACTCATTTAATTCCCTCCAAAAGTTATCTTGGAGTGTAAAATAATGCAGCCACAATGGAAAACAGGATGTAGTTTCCTCAAACATAAAAAATAGAATTACTGTATAATCCAGCAAATCCTCTTCTGGATCTATGTCCAAAGGAATTGAAAATAGAATCTCAAAGACTTCTTTGTACCCCCATATACATAGCAGCACTATTTACTATTTTCAAGAAGTGAAAACAACCAGAGTGTCCAATGGCAAATAGATAAACAAAATTTAGTATATACATACAGTGGAGTATCATCCAGCCTTAAAAAGGAAGGAAATTTTGACAGATGCTACAATAGGAACCTTTAGACATTGCACTAAGTGAAATAAGACAGTCACAAAAAAGACTAATACTGTATACTTACTGAGTTACCTATAGTAGTAAAATTTGTAGAAATAGAAAGTAGAAGAGTGGTTTCCAGGAGCTGGAGGGAGTGGGAAATGGGAAGTTATTTAATGGGTCAATTTCAGTTTTTCAAGATGGAGAAGTTCTAGAGATTGCTCAACAATATGAATATATTTCATACTATAGAACTGGACAATTAGTAATGGCTAAAATGGTAAACTTTGCTATGTGTTGTTTTTACAACAAATAAAAATTTTTAAATATTATGTTATTAACAAAGCTTTAATTATGTATAGAATTTCATGGATAAATTTTTTTCAGCACTGTATGTAAATCAGAAAGGATTCTACTGCTACTTTAAGGAGTCATGAGACACTTTCTTCTAAGATTGTTACTTTTCAAATTAAACAACTACCAAAAAAAAAAAAGGACTTCTTGCTTTGTTACTCTTTTCAAGTTATCAACTGTTCCTTTTCTTATTCATTAACATGTAATAAATGTTTCAAGTAGAAAACTGTCTTCACCTAAATTTATTGAAGGGAAATATCTATCTTTATAGAATGAAGGGGTAATTGTACCAAAAATGTATGCTTCTTACTTACAGAAAGGAGCTTATCTAACATGAAGAAGCAGCACTATGAACTGCCAAGTAGCATTGTAAGGGGGAGAAGTTACTGGTACCTCTTAAAATCAGAAGCTTGAAATGCTCATGGTTTCCAATTGTTGACCAGGCAGTCAGTTAATGCGAGGGGACCTGTCTTGAATCTACTTGCATAGCAAGCACCCCCTTTTTATTTAGATTAAATGCTTTTTCAGGATAAGATGGGGGGAGGCTGGTGGAGATTTGATGGGGGAATAAAGACATCCTTTAGGATTGCTACTGACCTGGAATGCATTTGCTATTTCCAGTCCCTATGATGGACCCTGAGAACACCGAGGAGTCCATTAAAGATTGAAGGAACATTTTCAGAGTTTAACCCTTCCCTCAATCTTTTTATACCCAGAAAGTGTTTGGGGCTTATTAATTTGCAGATTCTGTCTTTAGAGTCTTATAAAAAATGGCATCTTAGAATCTTAACCTACTAATCAAAGTTTGTTAAATGTTCAAATCAAGCTATGTAAGAGTAGTTTTTCTAGATGTAACAGGAGGTAGTCATTTCTTCTCTATTTTGCTATACTCTTTTGCTTATACATTTGTATAATATTTATCACATTATGCCACACTGAGTTACAGTTTTTTAAAAATAATTAATTCTGTCCATTAACTTAGTTTTTGAGAGCAAGGATCATGCCTTTTTCATCTCTGTGTTTCTACTACCTGAAGAAATTCCCAAAACTTAATAAATGCCCTTAGCTTCAGAGGTATGCCCAGACAAAGGCTTTCCTCAAGGAGTTGACCGATGAGTAGCCTAGGGGACATGTCATAAAACAGAGTGCTGCTGGCTTGTTTTCCTGTGGTATGCCTGTCTCAGCTCCTTTCCTACGTAATCCAAAAAATTTAAATAACTAGGAAAGGAAAGGCTGTTTTCCTTCCGTAGTTGTATAAATAAATGAGAGTTTCTTGACTTTGTTTAAAAAAAAACACTAAGCTTAACTTCCTAACAATATAAATCACTTGTGTTTAATAATAATGATCTTTATTTATGTATATGTGTGTGCTAATTTTCTTAAGGGCTTCCAGATTCCAGTGTTTCCAAAATGATCTCTCAGTTTCTTTTGAAATGTCTAGTGACATGACTGATCACAGTAGCCCTACAGAATGTGAAGTGTATCAGAACTGAGAGTAGAAATCTGGGTGAGTGTAATCCTGAGGTAAACTGTTTTGAAAGGGTTAATCTTACCCTCATTCCTCACCCACTTCTTAAAGAAGTGACTGTTAGTTTACTTCAATATTTAGATTCAGTATTTAGAATCTTGATCATGAAAAATAATGAAGACTACTATAGTTTATTTTTATAGATTTTTTTTTTTTGGTGTGTGTGTGTGTGTGTGTGTGTGATGTGGTGTGTGGGATTGAACCCAGGGCCTTGTGGATGCGAGGCAAGCCCTCTACCAACTGAGCTATATCCATAGCCCTAACGTAGAGATTTTAATTCAGCTCAACACACATTTACTGTGAATCTACAGTGAGACAAAATATTGTGGATATTGTGCTTCTCAGCTTCTTCACTTTAAATTATTATGCCCTAGTAGTTTGGGCATTTTCATGTAAGTCTCTTTAATAAAGATTAATTAATCTAGTGAAATATGAACTTTTGCAACAGGCAAACTGGTTAGAGTTGACTTTGCTTCATTATGTCATCTAGATATTAGTCTTCTTATGTTATCTTCTAAATCCCTATGTTCTGGGACATACTAAGATATAAAACAGTAGGAAACATGCATGTGAGAAAACCATTGAAAGCCTTTTAACTATTGCAAACGGTAATGTTATTATTATTAAAGTAGATCAGAAATCACAATTAGTCATATTATTATTAGTTGAATTCATTTTATTAGTGTAATGAAATCCAGTTATAACAAAGTAGATCATAATAAAAATTCTTCTATGTTGAGATATTGGATTATCCTAGTGAAAGACCATATGTAGTTCTTATGGTTTCTAAAGCAGTCACAGAGTGCAGTTACAACACTGAAGACAGGCTGCTTCCTAAAGTTTATGTGATCAGATTTTGCTTATACTTGGGTGGAATATGGTATCAAGTGTTTTATTTTTCTAAAAGGAAGTTGTGCTTTAATTGATATTAATTGCAAATTCTTGGCAGAATTATGTTCAGCTGAAGTGAAAGCCTACACAATAGGTTTTAAAGTTTTAGAAACATCAAATGGTAAACTTGGATGGAAAAAAAAAAGCTTTTCCTATAGAATCATTGTTTTTTAAAAGGATGTAAAACAATGCATTTTGAAGATCTATTTTGGATAATTTAATACACTAACTCCAAATTGTTTTCACATTTGAAAAGGTCAGGGAAAGTAGTATCTAATAAATCCATTTGTTTGGGTTTAGGTTCCATTGTTCTGGCAGCTCTCCTGGTTAATATACAGTATAGATGACGAGTTAAGGGTCCAATTGAGTTTTGAGGGTTTTTTTTATGTAATTCATTATATTTATTCTGAGATGATTCATAAACATATTAACTCATTAAATGTCTGTTGATACTTTCTCTACGTTGTGCACAGCTTTTAGACTAAATGTCATAACCAGTTGAGTTTTAATATAAACTGGGGCTAATTCTGAGCTTGCTTCTTGATTTGTTTTGGTTCTGATCCTTGTTTCCACTCTTTCAGGATAAGATGTCACAGATACAGAACTCAGTATTAATATCCCAGAGTCCTGACGCTGATTTCTCATTCTGAAGCTAGCTAATTATTCTGTAATATAATAGAAGGGGTACAGTGTGAATCTAATTAAGTACAAAAAATTATGGAGCCAGGTCACCAGCATTTGAATGCTGGTTCTGCCACTCATTAACTGTGACCTTGAGCAATTTTTGGTATCTCTAAAAGAGAATAATAATAGTATTGTCTCAAATTGGTACTTATGTGGATTATATGAATGCATTCTAGAACAGTTTCTTGTACAAAATAAGTTGCTGTGTAACTATAAGTTTTCTTTAGTATTGTTAGTCAGCATAGGAAGTCCTACAGAGGAGACCCCAGGGCTGAACTTAGTAACTGAAATTACAGGTCCATCTGGTTATCCAACTAAATACAAATTGTTTGCTTTTGCAAAAGAAAATAGCTATTAAATCTGTTTTGAACTGTAGAAACTGGTGTAACAAATCTTACACTGAGTGCCGTGGCACATGCCTGTAATCCCAGGTACTCTGGAGGCGGAGGCTGGAAGATTGTTCGTTCAGAGCCAGCCTCAGCAACTAAAGCAGGGCCCTAAGCAATGTGGTGAGACCCTGTCTCTAAAATAAAATACAAAGACAGACTGGGATGTAGCTCAGTATTAAGCACTTCTGGATTCAATCTCTGGTATCAAAAAACAAACAAACAAAACACATAACTCACATTTACCTTTTCTTTGGGGAAGGGGGGGGGGGCGGAGCGGGTGGGCGGTGAGTGGTTGAGGGTACCTGGGATTGAATTTAGGAGTACTCCACCACTAAGCCACATCCCAAGCTCTATTTTGTATTTTATTTAGAAATGGTCTCACTGAGTTGCTTAG